TTAGGAGCCAGTTCTGAGGTGACTGCTTCTGTATGTAAGTTCTGTGACATGTTTTGTAGTCCTCTATAACTGATGGAGTTATTCTGCATTTCGGTAGAGAGTTTTGCTGGGAGTTGTAGTTCTCTATATCGGTTACCATTCCTCATTTTTGTAGAGAGTATTGCTGGGAGTTGTAGTTCTCTATAGCATTACAATTCTGTATAAAGTATTGCTGGGAGTTGTAGTCCTCTATACAGAAATGCAGAATAGTAACAGCTATAGGTGGGCATTGTAAGAGCCGGGGGGAGGGGCAAGAAACAAATCTTGCACCAGGGCCCATTGTTCCATAGGTCCGCTACCGGTGTACTCACCAGGTGAATGACTTTCATTCGTATATTAAAGCTTATGGATTAGCATAACTGGCAGAAAACTACCTTTTTAAAAAAGTCAGCAGCCCCTGTGTCTATTAATTACAGATTTCCTTGTAGCATGAATGCAAAGACAGTCCAAATCAAATTGTCCTACAAAGCAAGGGTCTAGGTCACGGAGTAAGGCTCAAAAGGAGGCCTGCCTTTGCTCAAATACTTAGAACTACACTCTAAATTGGCCCCATGTTTGTATAAAGGATGTGATCGGTTTGCTGTCGCATGAGATTTTCATACCAGAGATATTTGTCATTACAGAGTAAGAACTCCTCGTTGAGGTGATGATGGCTATATTATTTTAGAGTGGAAATCAGCAGGAAGTCATATGGTCCTGACAGGCTTCAGAGAGGAAATGAATTGCAGGAATTATATCCCTGGCACGATCTTGGCATAAAATAGCCAGGAATCCAGCAATCGTGACTGAGAGGTCCCATGCTCCCATCATTACATCTGTCCACATGTTGATTTCTGACTGGATCATAGAACCCCACCGTTAAGAAAATAAATATTCAGAATTCTGTAATTAGTTCACGATTTATTATTTGTACAATTGAAGATAGATATTTGACAGTAGTATGTACAGTTTTAACAACCCCACTGTACTTATAATTTATTTAGTAGATGTGAACCCAATCCTGAAAATCTGATGTACATTTTGATATGATCTGACATACATTTTAACATGTCAATACAAATTCAAGTCATTTTAAACCTACAGCTTTCACTAAAATATCTGGTTGTCCTGCCATGAAGGTCCAATGTTCAGACACTTCCTGTCATAGGGTGACGGCACTCTACCCCTGTCTTCTAATTAAGCTCCCACATTGTCTCAGAGGGAGACTACAAATGGCCATTTCAACTAGACATGTGCGATTCGTTTTGTTCCGAATCGAAATTCGGACGAATTTTCGTAAATTCGGACATTCGGATGTATCCGAATTCCGAATTACAGACATAATGAATGCAAACGAATCCGAATTTCCATTTCCGAAATTCGGTAGCGTTCGCACGAACGTTCGTTTCGTTTTCTGTTCTTATTCGTTTCTTATTCGTTTCGTTCGTTGGAGCAAAGTGACAGAGAAGGAGAAATATATTTTTTCCCCGTCAAATGTCACTTTTGCTGCAAACGAACAAAACGAATAAGAAACGAATAAGAACAGAAAACGAAACGAACGTTCGTGCGAACGCTACCGAATTTCGTCCGAATCTGAATTCCGAATCCGAATTGACTTTCACACCCGAATCCTGAAAAACGAAATAACACAAATCCGAATTTAAAACGAAACGAAACAAATTTTTTGGCAGTGCACATGTCTAATTTCAACACACATTACGCATGCATGGTCCACTGTTGTCATCATCATTAGGTAAGCCATCCTGAGAAATGCCATGCAGCCATCACTGAACGTGCATACATGTAGAGGTGTGGTAAAAAGAACAAAATAGAGCGCCTCCATAGTGTAAAAATGTTATTTAATAGTAAAAACACGCAGCTCTAAGGCTGTACTTACAACAATTCGGTAGAATAGGGTGAGAGGACGGAACCCCTGGCAGGGAGAATCTGGAGCGATGTAAAACACCAGTAACCTCGATCCCTGTATTGATAAATGGTTAACGCGTTTCTGGGGCACGCCCCCTTCATCAGAACCAATGGTGGTGGTTACAAAGAGGGTACAGGTAATCAGCAGCACTGGGATGCAACAAAAGATTTAAAAAAATGTGAAAACAAGTATTTTATTAGAAAAGGGCAATTGTTTAATACACAGCTCAAGCTAAATGTCATTCAGTTAAGAGTAGGGGTAGGCTTGGTATGCCAGTTGTGCAAATCCTATCATGCCTCTGGGAGTCATGCCTGTGGCCATCAGCCTTGCAATGTCTTGTGGGAGGTTCCACAACAGCTGGAGGGCCGAGGTTGCCAACCCCTGAGTTAGAGTTTACATCTACTTTGTCAGGTCACTAAAAATAATTGAAATAGGTTTACTCCTATTCTCTCTTTTTGGAACACTTACTGATCTACTCTTCTGGGTGAGCCAATTCACTCATGAACTGGTAAGAGTCATTTGGATCCATTACCAGTTCACTTCTTGCATTCAGAGCCTGCAGCCGCCAGTCTTCCTAATGGAATGAGGGCCCTCACCCAATCTTGGTACAGTGAACAGGACATCTTTCCCATACATGTGTGGTTTTTCTGCAGTAAGATGAGGACTAGAGATGCCCATTTACAAATGATCAAACTGGACTGATGTGGAGTTTGCTGAATCACAAAGTTTTGGTAACATCCTCTTCATCTGTTTTATTTTAGTTTTTACACTGTCGGAGGAGCACTATGACAAATTGGAAATGGACATTAATTGTATTAATAAGGTCAGTATTTGTGTATAGTTCTTTTAGTCAGAGGCATAGGGCTTAACTCATTGAGCTGCAGTGATCATTTATTTTTTTCTCTTACATTACATTAACCAAGGAGAGCCAAAAATATTGATCACAAGGTTGCAAATTATCATTATGGTGAATAACGCATGCTTTAGTTTTGCTTATAGAGGTTTCCCCCCTCCCCCCCCC